AGGTACAGTGGTGGTGGGATTGGTGTTCAAACATTGAATACCTGTAACTAAACTAATGACTTATAAGTTATTTAAAAAATAAAACTACCTGGGGCGCTGGAGTGATAGCACAGCAGATAGGGCATTTGCCTTGCACGGGGCCAACCTGGGTTTGATTCCCAGCATCTCATATGGTCCCCTGAGCACCGCCACGAGTGCAGGGCCAGAAGTAACCCCTGGGTATTGCCAGGTGTGACACAAAAAGCAAAAAAAAAAAAATTAAAAATAAGCTACCATGAGTTACAAAAAAAAAAATCCAGCCAGAGAGATAGTAGAGGGCAGGGAGTTTGCCTTGCATGCATCTGACCTGAGTTCAATCTCCAGCACTCATATGCTCCCCAAAGCCTACCAGGAGTGATTACTGAATAAAAAGCAAGGAGTAAGCCCTCAGAACAACTGGCATTGCTGTCCCCCCCCCACCAAAAAAAAAATCTTCTGAAGTTGGAGAGATAGTACAGCAGATAAGGTGCCCACCGTGCACACTGCTGACCCAAGTTCAATCTCTGGCACTGCTTATGAACCACCCGCCCCCCCGAGCCCCAGCAGGAGTGATTCCTAAGCACAGAGCCAGGAGTAAACCCTGGGGACCTCTGTATGTGAAATTCTTCTCCTTAACATCTTCACTGCTCAATAATTTTTTCCTGTCACCTGCATCAATATCTGCCTGTCAAATAGGCAGTAACTGGTCAACTTACTATTGGAACCTTTAGGACTTGATGGATCTTTGTGGGAAGAAAAAGTGAGACTTGGGAATGGAGAGATAATACAGCTGGTAGGATGTTTGCTTTGCATGCAGCTGACCCTGGTTCAATCCTCAGCATCCCATATGGTCCCTTGAGCATCTTCAGGGGCAATTCCTGAGCACAGATCCAGGGTAACCCCTGAGTATTTCCAGGTATGGCCCAAACAACACCAATAGAAAAAAAAAAGTGAGACTTATATGTGGCAGAGCTACGGTTGGAACTCAGGAAATTATAATCTTAATCCCTGAATTTGGCTGCCTTTCTCTGTTTTTTTTTTGAGAATATTTGCCCATATTTATTTGACAAAGGTTTAATATTCAAGATATATAAAGCATTTGTAAAACTTAACATGAGAAAAATCAACCAATCCCATCAAAAACTTGAGAGAAGAGATGAAGAGAGACTTCCTCAAAGAAGGCATACAGATGGCTAAATAAGTATATGAAAAAGTTCTCTGCATCACTTATTATCAGGCAATGCAAATCAAGACTATGAGATATCACCTCACACCAGACTGCACAAATCAAAGGGAACAAAAACAACCAGTGTTGGCATGGATGTGGGGGAAAATGAAACTCATTTGCTGCTAGCAGGAATGTTGACTGGTTCAACTTTTTGGGGAAACAACATGGGCACTCCTCAAAATACTAAGGATTGAGCTTCTATATGACCCAGCAATTTCACTTCTGGAAATCTAACCCAAGGCACCCACATATCTATTCAGAAAAGACATTTGTACTCCTATATTCTTTGTAGCACTATTCACAAAAGACCAAAGTCTGAAAACAACTCAATTTCTGAAGAACAGATTACTACAGGAATACTCTTTGGCTATAAGAACAGATGAAATCATGCAATTTACCCTTATGTGGATGGAACTGAAACCAGCCAGAAGGAGACGAACAGATACAGAATGGTCTCTCTCATTTTGGAATATGAAAAAGCATAGGAAGGGAATAACAAATGGACAAAGGTAGCAGAGCCTGAGAGGTGATCTACAGAACAGAATTCTTTTTTTTTATTTTTATTTTTTTAATTTTTTTTAATTTATTTATTGAATCACTGTGGGAAAGGTTACAAAGCTCTCAGGTTTATGTCTCAGTCATGCAAATATCAAACACATTTCCCTTTACCAATACTTATTTTTTACCATGAAGAACCCCAATAAACCCCCACCTCCCACCCCTCCCCGTCCCTGTGAGGCAGATGAATTCTAGTTAACACTCTATCTGCTTTGATTAGATTGATTGTTTCAATAAAAGATTCACCACTATTATTTAGAGTTTACCCCCCCCCCAAATCAGACATGCTGAAAAAGCATTGTGAAGTGATTTGCTTTCTACAGCTGGGTTCAAGAATTAAATGTTGGTTTTGGATTTCTGCTATTTTACCTATTGACCCTGGAAGTATTTCTACTGAAAGTCAGATAGTTAAGAAATTGGTTTCTGTGTTCTGGAGTCCTGGCCATGCTGGAGAGCCGCTCGCGGGGGGCAACCGGTGGCCTCGGTAGGGCGTGAAGGGCGGAGCGAAACGCCCCCCTTCCCATGAGGTTTTAGTCGCCCCCACACTCCCGGCTCATACCTGCTGTCCACAAGGCTCCCATGTGGCCGCCATCTTTCTTTCCAGAGAGGAGAGGGCGAATGGGGCAACACCCTTTCCCCTCCGGCAGACTTGATGGGCTGGTGTTGCCCCATTCGCCCTCTCCTCTCTGGAAAGAAAGATGGCGGCCACATGGGAGCCTTGTGGACAGCAGGTATGAGCCGGGAGTGTGGGGGCGACTAAAACCTCATGGGAAGGGGGGCGTTCCGGTCCGTCCTTCACGCGCTACCGAGGTCACCAGTTGCCCCCCACGAGCGGCTCTCCAGCACGGCCACAGCCCCAGAAGCACAAGGGCTTAATGCAGAACCCAGCAGCTTGGAGCAGAAAAGTGAAAGGACTATGCGTTAATCCAGGCAATCATTTCTGCCCAGAGAGGAAAGGGTGTTGCTCCCTTCCGCCCTCCTCCCTCTGGAAAGAAAGATGGCGGCCACATGGGAGCCTTGTGGACAGCAGGTATGAGCCAGGGGTGTGGGGGCGACTAACACCTCATGGGAAGGGGGGCGTTCCGGTCCGTCCTTCACGCCCTACCGAGGTCACCAGTTGCCCCCCACGAGCGGCTCTCCAGCACAGCCACGGCCCCAGAAGCACAAGGACTTAATGCAGAACCCAGCAGCTTGGAGCAGAAAAGTGAATGGACTATGCATTGATCCAGGCCATCAAGTCTGCCGGAGGGGAAAGGGTGTTGCCCCATTCGCCCTCTCCTCTCTGGAAAGAAAGATGGCGGCCACATGGGAGCCTTGTGGACAGCAGGTATGAGCCGGGGGAGTGGGGGTGACTAAAACCTCATGGGTCGGGGGGCGTTCCGGTCCGTCCTTCACGCCCTACCGAGGTCACAAGTCGCCCCCCGCGAGCGGCTCTCCAGCACGGCCATGGCCCCAGAAGCACAAGGACTTAATGCAGAACCCAGCAGCTTGGAGCAGAAAAGTGAACGGACTATGCCTTTCTCTGTTTTTACATTTAATCCTGTAGGTCTTTCTTCAGGACTGATACGATAAAAGAGTCAGCACCTTCCAGTGATAACTTAACTATACCTCTCAGCAGCATTAGACACCATGGACCTTAGCTGGGGCCTGGTTCCTGGGATTCCTTTGGTTTGGGTCCTATCTCTTGCTTTCTGAATAAATATCCTTTTCACAAATTGTCTTCTTTACTGGTCCCTTAAAGTTGACAATGATTGAAAAGTTGTTTAATACATTCTTGTGACTTTGTATACATCTACGTGTTTTCATTGCTTAGATGTGTATAACATCATTCAATTAATTCCAGTGCATCTTTAGGAAGTCTTGTCTTCAGTATCACCTCTGGAAGACTTACTAAAACTCTGTTCTCCAGTTTAGTTCAAGGAACTCTTTATTGTTTTTATTTTATTGTTTATTTTTGGTTTTGGGGGGCACACTAGTGGTGCTCAGGGCTTACTCCTGATGGTGCTCGGGAGACCTTATGGGGTGGGTGCTTGAGATTAAACCCAGGTCAGCCATATACAAGGTAATTGTCCTTACTGCTGTACTATCTCTCTGGCCCCTTCAAAGGGCTCTTTAATATGTCTCCCCTATAATAATCCTCATCGTTCTGGGTTGTAAGTGCTGGTATAATTATCCTCCAATCCTGGCAGACAGATCCTTAAGAGATGGACATTTTTCTTTCTTGCTCACTGGTAGGTACATTAAACTCAGATGAAAATCACAAATCAAATCATAAATCATCCTGTTATTCGTCGATTGCCTCGAGCAGGCCCCAGTAATGTCTCTTTCATCCTAGCCCTGAGATTATATTCAAGGCTCTTTAGGAGAATGAGACCCATCATTGTTACTGGTATTTGGCATATTGGGTACGCCACGGGGATTTTGCCAGACTCTGCCATGTGGGCAGGCTACATTCGGTATAAAGAATAAAATACTTATCCCCTTAAAATTACCTGCTTACCAAATCTCTTTTTGTTTGGGGGTAGGGGATGCGTGGGGGGCTCCCAAGTGGTGCTTAGGGGACCCAGGGACTCCTTCCTGCAACTCTCAGTCCACAGTTCGATGCCTGGGCCCAAAGATGTGATGCCCCAGTGTCAGAGATACCCAGGCCACCTGGTGGTGCTCAGGGGCTGTGCCCAGTGTTGCTCAGGGGACCCTGTGGTGCCAGGGATGGACCACAGTCAGATGAAATATTTTCTAATATATGGTAAAGGTAAAGGTAAAGGCCCTCCCATTGATCGTCGATTTGCTCGAGCGGGCCCAGTAACGTCTCCATTGGAGACTTTGTTGTTACTGTGTTTGGCATATCGAATACTCTCGGTAGCTTGCTGGGCTCTCCAAGAGGGGCAGAGGAATCGAACTTGGGTCGGCCATGTTGGCCGCTTGTAAGGTGAACGCCCTACCCGCTGTGCTATCGCTCCAGCCCTTGGAGAGCCCGGCAAGCTACCGAGAGTACTCGATATGCCAGACACAGTAACAACAAAGTCTCCAATGGAGACGTTACTGGGCCCACTCAAGCAAATCGACGATCAACGAGAGGGCCTTTACCTTTACCTTCTAATATATGAAAGAATGAAATATATGAAAGAATGAAAGAATGAATTAACCATTTTTTTATGATTTATTGGCAACTAAACAAATCTCTCAATAATTTCAGCTACAATGGAGTATAATCTGTGCTCACTGGTGGTGGAACCATTTCATCCTGACTTGATCATCAATGTGGGTGAGGTAACTCTTGGTGAACATAACAGAAAAAAGCTGGAAAAAACTCAGAGAGATCAAGAGAAGAAAAGAGTTCAACAGGCTGCCTGTGCCTTACTGAACTCGGGTGGAGGAGTGATTCAGATAACAATGACAACCGAGGAGGTGCATCAGGTGGAGTTGGGACTGGATTTAGAAGGGGCTTTGAGAGAACTTATTCAGTCTCCTGATTTGCAGTCTTTCTTTGAGACTAAGCAACAGCGCAGATTTTTTTACATTTTTGTTAAATCTTGGAGCAGTGGCCCTTCCTCTGGAGACAATTCTCCCAAACCCCGGATTTGCAGCCTGAGTTCTAACTTATACTATAGATCAGGCACCTCTGTACTCTGCATGACATCGAACTTTGCATTTGATACCCTTAAAAAAAAGAAAATGGCTGCAGAAGGTATTATGATGAATCAGAGTTTCCCATCTAAGAAAAAACCCCAAGATGAGGATCCTCATCCTGAATCACATTCTCCTAACCAAGTTTTTCAAACTGACAGATTTGAATATGGTGATATCCTGCCTTTTCCTGAGTCTCAATATGTAGAGTTTAAGCAATTTTCTACAAGCAACATCACAAGATATTTAAAAAACATAATTCCAGAATACATATCTGCATTTGCAAATGCGAAAGGAGGTTATCTTTTTATTGGAGTGGACGATAAAAGTAAAGTCTTGGGATGTGAGAAAGACAATGTTGACTGTAATACTTTAGAAAGAATAATCACAGAATCAATTTCCAAGTTACCTGTTGTTCATTTTTGCTCTACCCAACCATTGGTGGATTATGAGACCAGAATTGCTAAGGTGTTTCACAAGGAAACATTGCATGGTTATCTCTGTATGATCCAAGTGAAGCCATTCTGTTGTGCAGTGTTCTCTCAAGACCCCAGTTCATGGATGGTGAAGGGCAACGGTTTCTGCAGTTTGACACCTTCGGAATGGGTAGACATGATGATGGACACAAATCCAGGTAGGAGAGATAAAGCTCTTCCTTGTTCCTTTCTTATAGTTTTTTTTTAATGACTTTATGCTGCTCCGCCCTTCTCGGAGAGCCCGGCAAGCTACCGAGAGTATCTCGTACGCACGGCAAATCCTGGCAAGCTACCCGTGTCATATTTTATATGCCAAACACAGTAACAGTAAAGTCTCACAATGGAGACGTTACTGGGCCCGCTCAAGCAGATCGATGAACAACGGGTGGACAGTGACAGTGACAGTGACTTTGCACTCCTCACACACACTGAAATTTGCTTTCTCTAAATCATGCACATAGAAGAAGACCATGCACACAGAAGAGTTGATTGAGTGACAAAATGTCCAAAATAAGATATTTTAAGTAAATGGTTATTTCTCACAAAAGAAAAAAAAGGAAACAAAAACTTGGAATAAATTGTTTGGTTGACCACAGATTGACGTAGGTAAACTCATCTGTTTGGAACCTCTGAACCTTATGCTAGTGTGATCTTGGTACCTCAGTTTAGCATAAGATCAAACCTGGGAGACAAGTGCAAGTGTTGGTTGAGATTCATTGAGATTGTGATTAGTGAAGGTGTATATATACATTGTGAAAGAGTGTTTTAAGTTCCTTTACAATTTAACCATTTGCTATTAAAACATGGAAAAGGAAGTATTATATTAATGGGACTCTTTCATGGTGGGTGCAGGGTCTGTAGAAATCTGACATAAAGCAAGAGAAGATGCAGAATCTTCCTTTGTGTCTTTAATCACATTTGAATTAGACTATGTTAAGTGAAACATAAACACCTACTCCTATGGACTGTTCCAACAGGGAGGGATGAAATAATATAGGTGATATGACTTTTCTTTCTTTCAGAGTTGTCTGAAGACTTTGAATCTCAGTTGAATATCTCCCAAGGCCCTCCAAATTGCAAACCAGTGTATTCTAAGAAAGGCCTAGAACATAAAAAGAATCTCCAGCAACGATTATTTTCAGGTACTAAGTGCCATTTTTACATTAGGAGAAAGAGAAATAAATTAATGCACCTGATTAAAAGCATTCTAACGAAGGTATTGTTCTAGAAATCCTGTTGTATAGAGTGACAAGGTTGCCAGCCTCTTGGGGATAAGCATCAGGGACCCTTAAAAATCCTCTGACTTTGTGGTTGCCAAATATGCCTGGTGATCAGAAATGCCACAAGTAGTAATTAAAACTTGCATCTTACCAGCATACATTTCCAGGATTGGAAATTATGTATCTGCATTTCAACAAGTTTATTGTCATTCTGATGTTCCAGAGGCTTTGTAAACTACTCACTGATTTAGTACAGCTAGAGGAAAAGCACTAGATGGGAGCAGACACCACTGGTCCTCTTTCAAGGGATGAAATAGTTAACTATAAAAGTCACCTTGGACTGGAGCACAATACTCTTGACTTGCATGCAACTAAACTGGGTTTGATCCCCAGCACCCCAGAGCAGGTACCCCATGCTCTGCCAGTAGTGATCATTAAGTGCTGCTTGGTATGACCAGCCCCCCAAATGAAATCATTAACAATTTTACCGAGAAAAATATATATATTTAAAATAAGTCGACAAGGTAATTTTTTGTTTGCTCATGTTTTGTTTATTGGCCATACCCAGCGGTGCTGAGTTCTTACTTCTGGCTCTGTGCTCAGGAAACACTCCTGGTGGGCTTTCAGGACCACATGAAATCAAATCTGGTTTAGGGGACTGGACCGATAGTAAAGCAGGTAGGGCACTTGGCTTGCACGTGGCCAAACCAAGTTTGATCCCTGGCCCAACATATGTTCCCTGGAGCACTTGCTGGGAGTGATCCCTGAGTACAGAGCCAGGAATAACCCCTGAATATTGCTAGATATGGCCCAAAACAAAATAAAAGTAAGCACCTGGGTTGGTTGCATGCAGATTAAGTGCCCTGCCTATTTCACTATCTCTGTCCCTGACAACATAATTTCTCTTGGAAAAGCCTGAACAAGGGGCATCACCAATGGGAGGAGCAAGGCTGAGGTAGGCATCCAAGACCCAGCACCATGTTATCTAACTACCCCACCTGCAAATATTTCTGACTGGGTTTTGTCTAGGAATTGACAGTTAGAAAAGGAAATTTTCTTTTTTAGAGCAAAAGGACTTGTTTAACTTCATACATTGACCATATTAAATGCAATTTCTGACAGGAATATGGTATGAAAATGTGCTTTTCCATATGGTATGAAAATGTGCTTTTCCATTACATAATAATGTAATATGCAGGAGTAACTGATCATTTTTCATTTTCTCATCCTTGACAAAGTCCATGTTAGCTAACACTACTTCTCCATAAGCTATAGAGCAGCTTGACTGCATTCATCTCTGGAAATTTGTAGAGTTTGGATTAAAAATGTGTGAACTATAAGAAATTTCACTGGAGTTTTGTATTTATGGGGGAGACTAACCATTGTTCCTAATGTAATATATTGTTTATACAAAATAGAATGTACAATATTGTAAAAGATTTCCATATTTTCATTTCTAGTGCAGCCAGATTATCTGCAGTATACCCCGGAACCTCTCTGGAAGGAGCTGTGCTCAGAGCATGAAGGACTGCAAGAACTAATGAATAATCAGATATTTCCTTTGTCCCAGGGAGTTTTGATCCTTTCTAGGAGCTGGGCTGTGGATTTAAAGTTACAAGAGAAACAGGGAGTCCTCTGTGATGCCCTTCTGATAGCGCAGAACAGCCCCCCAATTCTCTACACCATTCTTGGGGAACAAGTGGCAGATGGGTGGTCCTACTGCACACAGACTGCCTTTACTTTGAAGCAGAAGCTGGTGAACATGGGGGGCTATACTGGAAAGCTGTTTGTCATGCCCAAGCTCCTCCTCCTGCATCCTGAAAGCAATGCCCAGTCCTTGCGGGTTTTGAGTTCTGTAATCAACTATCCCAAGTCCTATAACCTTGAAGACATCCAGCAAATGGAAGCACTATTACAGTCCCTTGTGGTTGTCTTGCTTAGCTTCAGGTCTTTCTTGAGTGACCAGCTCGGCTGTGAATTTTTAAATCTACTTACAGTCGAACAGTATGAGGTGCTCTCCAAAAATCTCCGCAAGCACAGAGAATTGTTTATTCATGGCTTACCTGGCACAGGGAAGACAATTATAGCCTTGAACATCATTGAGAAGATCAGGAATGTGTTTCGCTGTGAACCAAAGAATATTCTCTATGTTTGTGAGAACAAGCCTCTGAGAAACTTTGTCGGGTGAGCAATTAGATCTAGTCACCAAATGAGATTCAGACTGTATTCACCCCCAACCCTCTCAATCCCAATCTCTTTATTTCTTGAGAGTTATGTGGCAAAATGACCTCTAATAACAGTAGTGTTTACAAGAGTGTGATAGATTAATTATTTAATTTCTTCAGAAAACCTAAATGTGTAATTTTATTTTTTTACAGTAAAAAAGGGATCTGCCGTGCAGAGACCCGGAAAACATTCATGGCAGATAACTATAAAGATATTCAACACATCATTATGGATGAAGCTCAGAATTTCCGAGATGAAGATGGAGACTGGTTCGAAAAAGCAAAAGCCATCACTCAGAGCGAAAAGGACAGTCCAGGAATTCTTTGGATCTTTCTAGACTACTTTCAAACTAGTCATACCATGCAGAGTGGTCTCCCTTGTCTTTCAGCCCAGAATTCAAGAGAAGAACTCACAAAAGTGGTCCGCAATTCAGATGAAATTGCCAAGTTGCTACAAGGTGAATTAGACAGGGTCAAGAGATATCCTCCAAACAACATCCCCCCTGGATCCTTGGACATGCTACTTAAAGCTAACTGGTGTTCAGGTGTGAAAGGAACACTAAGGACTGAAAACAACTTGAGTTGGCAGCAAACAGTGAGCTATGTCGAAGAAAGGTGCAAGACTCTCTTTAAAAGAGGCTATTCTCCCAAGGATGTTGCTGTGCTTCTCAATACCTCAGAAGATGCTGAGTCTTACAGGAAGAGTCTCTTGAGAGCACTGAGGAAGATAAACGTGGTGCAGGTTAGTGATGCCTCTGACCTGCAGAGTGATCACATTGTGTTGGACAGTGTCAGGCGATTCTCAGGCCTGGAGAGGCCCATCGTATTTGGAATCCTACCAGAGAAAACCACCATCTTAGGAAACCTTCTAGTTTGTCTGATATCCAGGGCAAATAAACAGCTATATATCCTGTGGTACCTGAAATTTTAATTCAGGAATTCTGCTTTAAGAAGCCCCTCCCATAATCTTGGAGCTTCCCTGATTTCCTTTCCTTTCCTTTCCATTTCCCTAAATAAGCTTTTTATTGAATTAGGGGAAGGAAGAGAGAAGAATTCCAAACCTAAATGGGATGAGGCCATTGTTATCTAGATGATAATAGGTTATTGCTCCAAATCCTGTCCCCTGTTCTTCCAGCCAGAATGATGGTGATTCTCAATAGAGCGTCAGCCATCCCACATAGCAAAGACTTTGGCCCATCCTCCGTTCTAAGAACTAAAAGCAGGATACATCCCAAGCTTCCATCTCTTAAGTGTAGATTTCATGAAGTTTTCATTTTTCAAATGTGGCCAGGTTAAACTTGTTTAAATATTTTTGTAGTTATCTGCAGAAGGTTTGTCTGGTATGGGGCTAACTTGACTATCCATACCAGAAACAAAACTTTTTTGAGGATTTTTTAAAATTTCCACTTGCTCTGCTGATTCAGGACTGGAAGATTCTTAAGACAACTCAGCTGCTGACAAGATTGGCCTTATTCATTTTGGTAGAACAGAAAGCACTGATAAAATTTTCCTAATAATTAAAGAGATAGGCTAAAGGCTAAGTATTGGGGCCAAAGTGATAGCACAGTGGGTAGGGCGTTTGCCTTGCACGCAGCCGACCCGGGTTTGATCCCCGGCATCCCATACGGTCCCCTGAGCACTGCCAGGAATAATTCCTGAGTGCAAAGCTAGGAGTAACCCCTGAGCATTGCTGGGTGTGACCCAAAAAGGAAAAAACAATAAATAAAGGCTAAGTATCTTGCTCGATACCACAGTTGACTCCAATCAATCCCTGGCATTATACAATCCCCTGAGAACTGCAGGGAGTAGCCTCTAAGGCCAGAGGAGTAAATCCTGAGCACCATTTGGTGTGGCTCAAGGATCAAAATGAGGACTCACACGAATCTCGGAACTGTGAGTAGCTCACTGCAGAGATGCCTCTGGCCTTTGAAATAGGCCACTTTCGCTGGGTCACTCCAGATGGGAGCAGGTGCTATCCCACCACCTGCCCCCTAGAAATCCCAGCAGCCACCACCTTCTAGAACTCAACGAAAGGTCCAGGTATGCAGGAGCAGTGGCAGCAAATGTCAGACCTCAAGGGACAGGGGAGGATCCGGTCCCTCTCCTTCCCCCCGCCCTAATGAAACTCTGAGATGACAACAAACTGCCCCGGCTACGTATTAAGCTCCTACATGGCCATGATCCAGACACACACACACACACACACACACACACACACACACACACACACACGAATCTTGGAACTGAGCAGCTCGCTGCAGAGATCTCTCCAGGCCCGAATTATTAAAATTTTAGAATTCCTAGAGCACACAGCCACTCTTGAGGCTGCGCAACATTATATTCTATCCATAACAAGCAATTCAAAACAAATTGTCTAGCATTGCCTTTTCGGCAGGTTTGAGTGGTGATCGGACTGGTGTTGAAGTATCGAATGTAACCAAAGTAGAGAGAGAGTATTGTGGAAATTGTCTGTCACACAGTGTGGCAGGGAAATGGTTGGAATGAGGGGAATACTGGGGATTTTGGTGGTGGAAAATGTGCATTGGTGAAGGGATGGGTGTTTGATGATTGTATGACTGAAGCACAAACATGAAAGCCTTGTAACTATCTCATAGTGAATCAACAAAAAAGGAAAAAAATCAAAATGACGATAATGACAATAATAATAAATGAAATATTATATCCTTTAAAGTTGAAATTCTCTAATTTTTTCTTAGAAGGAATGATTCAGACCAAGCCTCGTTTGTGATATGAAATATTATCACATTACATGGAAGTGACAGATAAAATTTGAGACCAAAATCTGGTTCTAAATGTGTACATCAGGGACTGGAGCGATAGTACAAAGGATAGGGATTTGCCTTGCATGCAGCCAACCCGGGTTTGATTCCCAGCATCCCATATGGTCCCCCGAGCACCATCAGGAGTAATTCCTGAGGGCAAAGCCAGGATTAACCCCTGTCATCGCCGGGTGTGATCCAAAAAGATAAAAACAGAAAACACTAAATGTGTGCATCAGCTCCTAAGAAGTACAGACTTTGAAAGATTACTGTCTTCAAAGATCAGCAAGTTTACTGTGCAAGTTGTTGGTCTGAACTCTGCTTATTACTCTCTAAATGAATTTTTAACCGGTTGCTTGTTGTTGTTTTCTTGTTTAGTTTTGGTTTTTATTGTTGTTGCATTCTTGATCTGTCATTTTTATCCTTTCACTCTCCTAATTTGGTGACCCACTGTTGAGATCTGAAAGCTTCCCACCAAATCCAGTTGTTAAAACTCTAGCCCCATGTGCCTGTATTTGAAAGTATGTAAAGAAATAACTAATGACAGAGGAGGTTACAATGGTGGAGATAAGTAGAATTAGAACCGTCTAAGAAGAAACATCAGAGCTGGGAAAAAACCTGGGACTCATGCCCAACATATGCTGAACTGCCGACTCCATTCCCAGCACTGTGTGGCCTCAGCACAACCAGCCTTTGGGAACAGTATTGAGGTCCTCAGTGAACTTAAAATTGAACTGTCATACGACCCAGCATTTCCACTTTAGGGCATCAAACCCCAGGACATAAAAACACCTCTCAGTAGGACATATGCACACTTTTATTCACTGCTTCACTTAGTACAATAGCTAAGACACGGAATAAACCTAGGTGTGCATAACAGATGAATGGATTATGAAGATGTGGATATAAGTACACAATGTAATACTATATAGCTGCAAGGAACAATAAAAGCATGTCATTTGCTGCAACCTGGTTGGAACTGGAAGATATCATGTTCCGTGAAGAAACAGAAGAAGAAAGACAAACAGGATGATCTCACTTATCTGTGGTGTGTAGAATAGCTGTATAATATTCATAGCATTAAAACTTTATTTTAAAATAGGGGCTGGAGGCATAACACAGACAGTAGGCTTCTTGCCTTGCACATGGCTGATCTGGTTCAGTCTCCAGCACACGATGGTCCCCCAAGCCTCACCAGGAGTGATCGCTGAGCACGGAGCCAGGTGTAAACCCTGAGCATGGCTGGGAATGACCCAAAACTTCACTAAATAGATAAATAAAATAAAAATAAATAAATATTTATGAGCTTTTGTTTAGATAGAAGGATTATTGATATTGCCGTCTTTTTCCCTGTGAATGAGCAAGTTTTACCTTGCATATCTGCCATGTTTCCTTTTTAAACAGAATTGAGAGTATGTGTTTTATTGAGCTAAAAATTATTGCTGTAAAAATATGATCACATTGGGGAAAGGGAGGGAAGTAAGACCAGCAGTTCATCATAGGGTCAAAGGTGACCTCAGTAGCAAAAAAACAAAACAAGATCCACCTCCAGTTGGGTTTTGCAGTCTGGTCTGGCAAACTTATCCTAATTTTCCTTCATAATAAGCTACCCTCTTCTGTGAAATTCTCATTCATCCCAGGTAATGAAATATCTTCATTCATGTACCAAGTCATGAGGTTCAATCCCCCGCACTCAATGTCCCCCACACACCGCTGGGAATGACTCCCAAGAACAAAGCTGGGATTAACCCTTGCACTCAGCTTTATAAAAAAAACATAAGGGTGAGAAAATGAGAGAGAAAGGTGCCTACAAGAAAACTACACTAGAGGAGCCCAGGATGTGGCTCACATATGTGAGACTCCGGGTGGAGCCCCAGCACCTCAAAAACATTTGAACTCTGGGGGGCAAGGAGATAGTACAGTGAGTAGGGGACTTGCCTTGCACATAGCTGACACAGATTTTATTCTCATGGTCCCCTGAGCACCACCAGGAGTAATTCCTGAGTGCAGAGCCAGTAGTAAGCCCTGTGCACAGCTGGGTATGCCCCCCAAGAAACAAACAAACAAAATTTTTAATTTGAGTCTAGTAGTATTAGACTTTGCCCTGAATAACCAAGACATAGGAATCAGTGATTGGAGCAGGGGGAAGGGATTTGACTTAAAGTTCATTGAAACACAACTATGGTATATATGCACAAGGGACTACTACTCAGCTATAAGAAGACAAAATCATGCAATTTTTCACTGCATGGATAAACTGGAGGGTGTGTATTATGCTTTGTGAAATCAGTCAGAAGGAAAAGATTGATATAGAATGATCTCTCTCATATGTGGGATACAAAGGAGAATAATAAGAGAATGATAAATGGCCCAAAGCAACAGAATCTGTGAGCTAATCTGCATAACTTAGTTTACCATTATGGGAAGATGGTGGGGTCATGAAGAGGGACAGGGGGCTAAGGAAGGACCTTGAGACAATGGTAGAAGGAAACAGACACTGGTGGAGAATGTGGTGATGAAATATATGCATGATCCTACCACTGACAGTATTGCAATTCACAGTGAGTAAAATAAAACATTTTAAATGTTAACTGAATTAGACTTATTTCTATTTATTATGTCTACTTTGAAGACTTGCCCATAAAAATTGAAAAATCATGTCTCAACTGTTGACAATATACTGTACTTCCATTACAAGTGAGCAACAGGAATCAGCATGGTGTTAAGACAGGACATGGCAGCTGAAACATCAAAGGAGGTAGCCTTATTCTGAAGATCTGGGAGAGAGTGTTTGAAAACCAGTACACATCATCATTCATGATACAACAGCACTCATCTTTATATTCACACACCAACCTGATCCTACTTTAACATACATCCATTTTCCAAATTATAAAGAATGCCAGTCAGTTATCCTAGCCTTTTGGAATGGATACAGAAAGAATTCATCCCAACCTTTCCTCCAAATCCCAGGTGAAAATTATTTTAGGAATCTTTGGAACATGACAGGTATAAGGAAAAAGGGACTAAGGATGCCAATTAAATAACCAAACTTTCCTAGGACAAAGAGGAAGACTGGCGATTCAGGGAAAAATCATCTTCCTTTCATATCTTCCTTTTACTTCATTGTCACTGCTATGATTCTTAGCTGATCTGATACCCAAGACTTCCAAGTTCAGGTCTTAGCACAGAAAAGATCCACCCCTGCCCCCACAGGATGCCTAAGACACAGGCTTAATGAAGCCATAATCCATGCACTTGATGAGACATTCCCGTGCTGTCTGGACCACCGCTGCCCTCTTCTCATCAGGCTCCTGCTTGCCCACCACAGTCAGGATCTCCAGCAGCTCACTCTCCACCAGTTTCTTGGCCAACTCAGCATCAGCTGCCAGCAGGTTGTAGGCAATGACGAGACCCCGGTGTTGGACTGACAGCCGGTCATGCAAGCAAAGCCGCTGTAGAATCTCCAACCACTGGGTAGTCTGGAGAAAGGAGAAGGATAAGAAGTTTTAGAAAAAGGAACAGTGACCAGAATACAAAGACAGTTTACAGAATGGGAAAGGGTATTCACCCAATATCCATCTCACAAGGGGTTAACGTCAAAGATACGCAAGGCACTGGTTGAACTCTACAGAAGAAAACATCCAGACACACAAACGAATCCAGACCCGAGCAACTTGCACCAGAGACAGTCTGGGACTTTGCAATAGGGCTTTTCTGCTGGACTGCTTCAGATGGGGCAGGTGTTGTCCATCCGCCTGCCCTTTAAGAGCTCCAGTGGTCGCCTTTTTCTAGAAGCCAGCGAGAAGTACCAGGTACAAGTCAGGGTGATGGCAAATTCCAAGTCTCATGGGACAGGGGAGGAGTGGGCCCGCCTTCCCCCTGCCCTGGTGGGATACTGAGATGACACCACATCCACCCACTGTCTACTTAAGCTCCCACATGGCCATGATTCAGACACACAAATGAATCTCGGACCCCAGCAACTTGCTGCAGTGATTTCTTCAGACCCTAATTATTAAAATCTTAGAATTCCTAGTGTGACATTATATTATATTCATAACAAGCAATACAAAACACATTGTCTAGCATTGCATTTTGGAAGGTATGAGTGGTGGTGGGACTGGTCTCGAAATATCAAAGGTAACTAAAGTAGAGAAAGAATATTTTGCAAATTGTCTGCCACACAGACAGGGGGAGGTGTGGAGTGGGGGTGGGGGGACACTGGGGATTTTGGTGGTGGAAAATGTGCATTGGTGAACAGATGGGTGTTTGATGACCTTTGATGACCATATGATCGAAGTACAAACATGAAAGTTTTGTTATTGTACCTCACAGTGAATTAACAAAAAATTAAAATAAAAAAATATAAAGAAGAAAACATCCAATCCCATCAGAAAATGGGGCGATAAAATGAACAAAAACTTTCTCAAAGAAGAAATCCAAATGGCCAAAAAGCTCATGAAAAATGCTCTTCATCACTAACCATCAGGGAGATGCAGATCAAAACAACAAAGAAATATCATCTCATATCACAGAGACTGGCACAAATCCAAAAGAACAAAAGTAACCAGTGTTGGTGTGGATGTGGGGAGAAAGGGACTTTCCTTCACTGCTGGTGGGAATGCCGACTGGTTCAGCCCTTTTGGAAAACAGTATGGACATTTCTCAAAAAATTAGAAATTGAGCTCCCATTTGATCCAGCAATACCAATTCTGGGAATATACTTTGGAGATGCAAAAAAGTATAGTAGAAATGACATCTGCACTTGCTTGTTCATTGCAGCACTCTTTACAATAGCTAGAATATGGAAAAAACCTGAGTACCCGAGAACAAATGACTGGTTAAAGAAACTTTGGTACATCTACACAA